TTTCTAATCCTGATATTTATCATTGTTAATAAAATTAACTAGTTTGTAAAAAGAATAATGTCTATTAATCAACCTACAAAGAGCACCATTTAAAAGTTTGCTCCGGACATTTAAAAACTCAGGACCAACCCTGGGTACAAAACGGTGAATTTGTTTACATGATGTTCGGACCCTGTTAAGGTCTGAATATCATGTAAACAAAAATGTTGACACTGGCCAGAAAAAAATGTTGCCACTTTTATTTTTCTGTTTATTTATTATCCTTTTCCGGCCAAGGATAAGGAGGTGCCTTTTAAGAATATATAGAAGGGGTTTTAGATTTTTTTTGTTTTTGTTTTAACAGATCACTTATTTAGAGGGATTACCGGCAACAAAAATTGAATCTAGACCTTAACCTAACGAAGCGAGTGATTCTTATCAACTCAACCAACTTTCGTTATCTTCTCAGTTTTTTGGGTGTTTTAGTTGAACTACCTTGTTTAAAATCCTCCCCTTATACCAAAAAATTAAATGATATTAGAAGAAAAATAAGACTTTTGTAATTGAACATATGCCCATTTAATATGCGCCACTGGGGTTCTTGGTTTATGACATGATGTGCAATGCACATGTGGGGTAAACCGACCAGAGTACACGGTCAGCCGAAAGCTTGATCTCTCTTTATAGAATGTAGCGCTACTTTCGAATATCGCACCATAAGTTTGAATGAGCATGTGCCAATTATATTATAAGAGAAATACTAAGTAAATTCTCTCGAAAGTAGAACTTTTTATAAATTATTTGTCACTTTATATTTTTAGTACGATTAGCATTAAAGGAGAGATTGATGAATCCATATATAGTGAGATAGACAAAGGTGATGGTAATACATTCACGATGAACCATGGTGGGAGAGTATTCTTTAAGATCAGACTCTCTCTACGATGTATATAGAAAATCTGGAGTGCATGTTAGTTCTATTTATTTTTAGTTTTTACACAAGTGTTTGAAAGAGGAGAATTAGACTTTAAATGCAAAAGATAAATAATAATTTTAACTAACTGAGTTACAAATTATAAAATTAAATGGGATAAGGCCATTAGAAGATAATCATTATTCACATGACAATACTTTAAACTAGTTTTAGTCTGTATGTATGAAGATTGGCACTTGCAAGAGGGGACCGGAGGGTGGCAGGCAACATCATTCCACATTACTTTTAACCCTCATTACCTAACTCAGTTGATCAAATTCAAGACCAAAATAGATTATGGCAACCCCTTGCCAGTTGCCAATGTCCTACACATTATTCACAGATGGACCTATATCCAAATAATTGAAATTATAAACACAAATTAAACACATGTTCATTTATAATTAACTAGAAGTAGGAGCTGTTGCTGAATTTACAGCAGCTAAGTACTGTTCGTGACAAAGTAAGATAGTTCGCTAGGGATTATCATCGCGTCCGGACAAATACTATGTATATGGACTGTGACAAAATCATTAAGTAGTCATCAACTGGTGTCACTTTTAGAAAATAGTAAGAGCCAGCCATGTTCTTGTTTTACAAATGGATAGTATAATACTCTATTATGTGTTGTCATCAGATCTGAAAAGGCCACGGGTCTCTTGTCCTTATTTTTCGCTCTGTATTGTCTCAAAATTGGATCCGATCCGGACCTTATTGTCTGGAGCTTAATGATCAATCCATCTGGATCGTTGATTAGTGTGTAAAAGAAATCAGGATTATTAGTTTGTGTGTGGTGGACCAACGAAATGAGTTAATAGAGAATGTTGGATTCAATTGTGTAGCCTAGATAAGTTGATCCTTAGGCTTCGAACATTAAGGTTCCGAGAGAAGATCCAATTCCTTGTGTCTCCTTGACACTTATCCTATTATTATTATTATTATTATTATTATTATTATTATTTATTTTTAAAAGACGATAGCATTTACGCTACGGTAAGGGGTGGGGGAGTGGGCTAAGCCTCACAATGGGCTAGCAATAATGTGGTTCAAATTCGTCTTTGGCCAGAATCGAATCTAAAACCTCTCACTTAAGTAAAAAAATAAAAAATAATAAAAAAATAAAATAAAATAAAATAAAACTACTAAATTGTAGTACTAAGTGGTTATCATTTATTGAAAGAAAACATTTGTTAACCTTTTTCTTTGATTATATAAAAATTAAAATAAAAAACTAAAAAATACAATAAAATATACAAGTGTATTCTTAATCGGAGCCAATCTCCTTCTCGATTATCATCTCTCAAACCCTATCCGAGCAAGGAAGAATATTATGGCGGAGGTGAAGAATCAGACTTCCTGCAACTCAGACAATTGCAATCGATGGATGGACACAATAGAGACACAAAGAAGGGGACAAGTATAAGAATATTAATAAAGAGACATAATAGAGAAAAAAATAAATAAATAAATAAGGACTTCAGAAATGTGGCCAACGTGGCCATCTGAAAAAATGGTGTGACTTAAAAGCTAACCCATTAATTTACTCAGATTAATGGATTATTAGATGGCTTCAACTAAGTATTAAATTAAAGATCATAAAGATACGAAGGATGCGCTGCCAATTTCTTGTTTTATAAAAATATAACAAAAAAAAAAAAACAATTGTGGCAACAATGGTTAATTGAGTTGGTAAGGATCGTTTTCTTCACTAAATCAAGATCTAGGTTCAAGTAATCTGTAAAAATAAAAAAAAGAAATAATTTGTAAATACCCCCTCTTTAAGTCCTTAAAGAGGCTTGTGGTCTGTCCTGGCCCTGAGATGGGGGTAGCCTTTGCTCCCCTAAAAATTTTCTCAGCCAAGAAAAAGAACTTGTTATTAGCATTCCTAACTTTCTACATTAACAAAAAAAAAAAAAAGGAAAAAAAAAACTTTTTTGAAGAGTGCACCATTAAACTTTTGAAGTACCAACAATAGTTCCCAAAAAAGAATATTGGGTAATGTCAGCAAAATTCTTGTTCTCCCTTCTAGATTTTTATTCTCATCATGTAAGATTGCATAATGATCAATATCGTCTCTTTTCTAGGTCACCCTTAAAGATAATCGGAACAAAACATTAACTAAACCTGAAATTGTATATTTATCTAATGGTTATTCAATAAATAGACAAACTACTAAAATAGTTAAATTTTGACAACATTAATCAAAATGTTAAACAATTTTTAATTTGGTTAACTTTTTGCATAGTTAATTTTATATTATGGCCTAAAATTAGATAGTTCCGATTATCATACAATATTGCAAAACAAAAATAAGAGTCAAGAAGTAAAACAAGAAGATATGAATGAGAAGGTCCCTACTACATCATACAACCCATCTTACTTTATTGTGCGCCCTGATGCATTGCATCATACATGTGTGCGTGGAATCCATTATATAAGTTCTACTTTAACATCTTTTGTATGAGAGTTCGTGTTGAAAGTTATAAGTCAAGTTAGCAGCTCATTATTAATCATATTGATATTATCAACTAACTTAACTACATGCACAACTTGAATTGTATTTTATTACAAAATGCCTCAGTACAATGACGAGTGATATCATTCAATAAAAGTTGAATTTAGATGGTTCTAGCAGACTAGAACTTTTCAAATACTGCCTAAAAGTATGTCCTTCATATAAAGTTTAATCCCAGAGATCATCACAATAAACTTGAGAGGAATCGTTCTTATCATTGTAGCTGGGCCATCGCTATCCTGTCATAAAATTTTGATCCACAATGTGGAGACGTCGCTGTCCGGTCCAAAAAATGCACCTATGTAATTACATGGAAAGCGACCATAAGCAGCCTATAACCTTGTAGGCGGCACGGCTAACCTATAGTTCTACCTTTCTTTCATTTTTGGGTCATGAAGGGCCCCTTATTTATAGGGCGTGTTAGGAAGTGTTTGATGACTGAAAGTATTTTTAGTGAAAGTTTTTTTTGGAATTAATTTTTAGTAGAAATGTAGGTGAATTTTGGAAAAGCACTTGAAGTGCTTCATGCAAAATATACATAACTGGTGAACCCAAAAATACTTGTACTACAAATGAATTCAATCATTTTAAAAACACTTTTAAACGAGCTCTTAGTGGATGGGTTTCATTGTGTTGTTTAATTTCGTAACTGTATATTATACATTCATATACTTTAAAATTTTCCAGCATTCAAAGCTAAAAAAAGAAAATTTTGAATAAGGTCCGCACGTGGATCTGCTTGATGGGGCAAGCTGGATTGCCTTCCAGCTCAAGATGCTCGTGGTAGCTGATTTGGAAATAATTTTCTTAATGAGTTGGAAAGCAAACAATTGAATAGCTACTCGTTTGCTGGCAGATAACATTTTGGTCTAGTGATATTCGGTTTTGTTTTCTTAGAATTTCTACGTTTGAAATTTAATAGACGAGATTTTGATACATGTTTTTCTTTTACATTAACAGAAAATAGTTGAATTTAAACTGAAAGCGCAGTGAATTGAAGAGAAATAGCGTAACAACTGAGATAATTTACCACTCGCAGATTTCAATACATGTTGATGCTTTGTGAATGGTATTATTATTTGTTTGGTTTCATTTGGTTGACAAGTTGACGAGGAACCCATACGGATGACGGATCCCGCAGGTGGCAGTTGGCAAATCTTACACTGCACACAAATCATGCCGCCCACAACATTCGTTCATGTCATGGACTCATGCGCTGAAGCCTTGCTCATCATGTGTCGTCGTCTAATTGTTTGACATTCAACTTGGAACATTTGATGGCTCCATGTGGGAATGACAAAAAACTCCACGGATACGGATAACGGTGGGGATCTACACGAATGAGCCGGATATGATAATAGCACTCTGAACTACAAAACGGATCTGCAGGGCCAGTCCTAAAATTTAGTGACCCTAAGGGTGTCGTTGAAAGGAGGCATTGACATGACATGCATGACATGGCACCTTAACTGAGGCAATTAGGGTTTCAGCTCTTGTACCAAACATGCAAATTTATGCAGCAATGCAAAATTATGCAGTAATTGGAATATGATTTAAGTCTCCAAAAACAAATATTAATAAATACGATTGATTCGGTTGTCCAATTATTACAACAAGAATAAAAGGGGGCCCAATCCAATGCCAGCTTCCCCTTGCTACTTCCACTAGATCTCTTCTGCCTGTTTCTAAATGTAAGGCAAACAAGTTCCAGTAGAAGTAGCAAAAGGAAGCATAGAGCATTGGAGCCACACAGACTAAGCTTAGACACTTCCATTGAAAATAAAAGCAAAAACGAAGGAAAAATGGCCGACTTCGCCAAGCCCTCTTCAAGCTCAAAACATTCTGTTTCCTTACTAGTTACTCTGGGCCGATGATGGCTCATTTCGTACCCAAGAGCCTATGTATGAACAAGGATTACAGCTTTGATAAAGGTATGAGAACTTCAAAACAGTCTCGTTGAAATGAGTCGCTGCCCTTTGTATGGTTAGATGAGCAAAATTCATGAATACTAACTTTATCCACCGGCGCTGGCCAACAAGCTAACTTTGGATGGAAATTATTTCTTCAGTCTACACCTACTGTACATGCTTGGACACCGGGGAATACACATGATAAGAACCAGTTTACTCAGGTCCGCGGCCAAACCATTTTGCCTGGTAGCTCTTGACCCTCTGAGGTGCTACAATCTCAAGAGCACCCATCACGCACTTGTGGTACGAAAAATCTTCAACAGTTCCATCTGTTCGTACCACCATAAAGCATTGTGCCCCCTCATGTTTAGGGTGAGCGCCGATCTATAAAAGATAGGAAAGAAAATCATCATGAAATTGCATTCTTTCAAGTATTTGTTCATTGGCACTTAAGATGCATTGCCTGGAAAATGTCAACGCTCTGCATCTTTACGCTTAAACCAGCAACAGCTAAATGCATTCAGCAAGCAATTTTTGTATTTTCAAGTTGTTAACATCCGTAAGATGGTTGAACACACGAACATACATCTAAATCAAGTCAAAAGCGCAAAGCAGCTATAAAAATACCTTTACCAAGTACCTTGCAACATTTACCAATTTACGAGAGATTCTTTCAAGATAATGTACCTTTATGTCTTGAACTCCAGGTCCAATCTTATCCATTCTATGAGGATGAAAATATAAAGCCGTCATCAATTTTGACTTGTCCTCATCATTTAACGTCTCATTGATTGGATACCTGCATTTACATGAGTTATGTACATGTGAGAAACAATTTTTTATTTCTTTTTTCGTTGGAACTGCTGGATTCAATGTAATTCAGTGTTAATATGAGGATGCTCCTAAACACTGTAAGTTGGAAAAAGACTCTTTGCAAGAGAATATCAGCATTCCCAAATGTCTTCACAATGGGTGCTTAATGTCTCATTACAAATTTCAAACAACACAAGCATTTTCAATATCGAATAATTTTGCAAGAACTCCTTCAATTCAGTTTGAACTTTGTACAAAAAAAGGGTACTAAAAAATTTTTTTTGAAGAATAATCAAATATGATGTACAAAGGTAGCCAAAATGGAACTTCGAGGATATTACGTAACGCTACAATTTACAAGTTTCTTTTTCTGAAGAACATCACTCTAGAAAAGTACAATTTGGTACAAGTGGTGGTGTAACCGTGCAAGCTCTAACAACAGGTGTGGTGTGATATAGAAGACAGATTGAGTATATTTTCTCCGAGTTCTATCTACCAAACAAAGGGATGGATGTCGATAATACTAACTAGAAAGTGCAAAATGACAACCATACAAAAGCTCAAGATGTGATTAACCTTGACGGAAGATAAGTCAAAGTGGTATCATGCAAGGCAAGAGACAAAATGGACAGGAACATCCTAGGGGGTTAACTTACTTGCGCAGTATGTGCCTCCACGTCTGAGACCACTTGAGGATATCATTGAACTTGAGATACTTTTTAATGACTGATTTGGATATACTCTCAAACTTCTCAAGCCCAACGTATTTTGCATTTTGGAGCAGATATGGAGAACCACATTTGTCGAGTGAATTGTTCAAAACTTCAGGCATTTTAACTTCATTCTCCTTAATGCAAATGGAACCAACTTGGCGTCGAAGCATGTCATAAACATCAAGTGGCTTTGACAAGTTGAGCCCCTGATGATAAAAGAAGAGTATGAGAACTGTAAGTGTCCACTGAAGAAAGTGATAAAATGCCAAACATATTTGAAAAAATAAATAAATAAATAAATAAATAAATAAAGATTGAGATGGCAATGTACGAAATAAAGTGCTAACTAGATTGTACGTTGCTTTACTATTTCTAGATATCTACTCATAATTAACTGCTTTAGATATAGAAAATTTAATGCACCAAACTAAATTGCTTTAACCGTTAATTTAACCCATAGTTCAAACTCTGGAGGATTTTGATAAGTTCACAGATTTTATAAGAATTTTAAGTCATCACTAAAATGCGAAGGGACTTGAGAATAAAGCTACGTGTTACTTTAAAAAATCATTAAGGATTCTGATTAGATTTATAGACAATCTCATCGTTCAAAACCAGTATAATTTCAGCAAAGCGAAGCTCAAGGCGTAGGTTGTACTGTGTAGCAAATGCCTTAAATTGGAACCCTATAATCCTCTGCTTTTCTTGAGTCGAGGCGAGGAATACTAAATCTCTTTTTACCAAAAGCTTACTCTTGTATCCCTCAAAACACCTTAGTTGGTAGATTAACTTAATTTTCTGCAACTAATTGTAGCATAAAATTAGCCACCAGAACAGTCTAAAGTTCTAAACTCTACCTTTTGAGAAAATAAAACCTCAAATTGCCTGCCCGTCCCAGAAGGAGGAGGCTTTCCCCATGCCAAGGCTTCCAAACTCCCCGGAAGTTCGTCCACGGCTCCAGCCTTGGCTGCTTTTACAAAGCAAGCCCCGGGAGTCTACATGAAGTTTCAGAATGATTACGTGAATTGTGACTAAAATAACCTTATTTAAAGGCAAAATGCATAGATAAAGTAAATAAACCAAAAACTAAGTATGGCACTTACAGAGAAACATGCTTGCATGAATGGCGATGATACAGATGCGTGTTCTTGTTGTTGGGCAATGCCCTTGGCATTTAAGCCCACAAATTCTCCTGTGCATGTGAGGCAATCTGCTACAAGGATCAAATGTTCGGGGAGTATGTTCTTTCCAATGTCATTGCATGTGCTCTCTAAACTCTGCAATTAAAATTGCATTGAATTAGTTAGCATATGAAACATATCTCATTTTGTGAAGGAATAAAAAAACAGAGGAATCGCACATTGAGGAAATGGTTCCACCCAACATCAATTCCATAGGCAAGGCAATACTCATGAACATTATCGGGATGACTTCGTGACCAATCAATCACATTCATAATCTGGATACAACTATCCAAAAGCATACTCCAAAGTCTTTTCTTGCCGCTCTTTCCTACCATAGAAACCTTCAAGTACAGTTCACCAGACGAACCATCAGCTACTTTTGATCGTTTGGGTTGGTCATTCCACAAAATATCCACCTTTTTCACCTCCAATAACCCTAAGAAACATAAGATGAGTACAATGTAAAGGAGGGCGTGACTATGCAAAATATGTTTAAGAAAATTTAAACTATCCTCATTCAACAAGTCTCAACAATATTCACAAATAACAAAAAAGGACTGGAGTTGCTAAAAGAAAATATTACAAAATTTTTATGCTTTTACCATATTTTTTCCTACCAAATGCTCAATCTAAAACTTTTCTTCAAAAGTAAGCGAAAACAACGTAAAAAATAATCGCATTGAATTATTGATCTTATCATACTTATTGGTAAAGTATTCCGAAATTCTAGTGTGGAGAATAGGAAACAGCATGGCCTGGTCAGAGTCAGAGCCAGAGATAGCATTTCCTATCCCCCACTCCATCTTAAAATTCGTCATCCACCTGCAACCTGTATTCTACTTCAACATGAATCCCATTCCCCATCCCAATTCCCCATCCCTGCACACACGCTAATTTATTATCCCATCCCATTCTCATAGAGCCTAAGTGTTCAACGTAAGCCAAGCTTTTAGCAGTGATGCATGCTGAAAAAGGCCTCAAACCCTAAGGATTTGAGATATTTTTCTTTTTCTGCTTACATAAGTTAGGCAAAGGCATTTCCTGTCATTGCGGACACTACAAATTATGCATTCAGAGAAAAATAAAAATTTCTGCGAGCTATCAAGCCTAAAAATACAAAAATCTAAAGCAGGATGAAAATGATCCTTGGTGCACAACCAACCTTTAACTACTGTTTCAAGCAGGAAAGGTATCACCAAGTCTCGAGCTTTATCCAGCTGTTCAGAAGAACTTTTGTGGTTTTCAGCCATAGCAACAGTGATGCAAAATGTGTCGTTATCTCCCTTGCATGTGTGAGCTTCAGAACAGTCCCTGCCATTTATCAGCCAGGTTGAAAGGGACGGTAAAGACCCATGAGATGGATTCAGTTTTAAACTCTAAGACAGAGACACAGCATTAGTGTTGTTGCAAATAGGTGCCGCTGGTGCAACCCAATAATATCATGCCTAGATTCGGTATCCTAGGAGAAATTGGCGCGGGTCCCTGCCTAAGGTGAAGCAAGATGGAGAAGGCCAGTTGCTCATGGCTAATGGGTTGTGATGGGACAGCATAGTAAAACAGAAGGAATTCAGGCCGAAACTTAACCTACTCCTAGACCCGGTTGTAAAATCAAGTAAAAGATCAACAAAGTTGACAGCTTACTTGCTCGTAATCAGCAAACTGCGAAGAATAGCTTTTAGTTCTGGTCTGGCAGAGTTGCACCTAGCATAAAGGGAATTGACAACGGAATGCATCTTCAGTCTCCTCCTCCTCACAATTTCCTGAATGGAAACAAAGTTATACCAGAGAATGGAGCTTGTATAAACTGAAAAACGCTACACATTACAGCTTGTACTACCTTGCCTATGTGAAAGTGGGTAACCCATGGGCTGAAACGTTTTTTACTCCCGTTTTGGGAGGAGAAGCTGATACCGACAAAATAAAGAAGTTAAAAAATGTAAATACATATAAAAATAAAAACAAAAGGGAAGCAAAAATATATGCAGATAAGAAAATGAGTGGTATCTAACATTATCAGGACCGTAGAAACAATATCGGAAAATTTCAGCCCTTCCAAATAATTCTTAACTTCCAAGGCTGCATACTCGAAACCGTGCCTATGTCTTCCAAGCTTCTCAGATAAATATAAAGACATGGTCTGCTTGGCACTGCTTTTCTTTGAACCACATTCCAAGATATTCTGCACAATTATATCAGCTCAGAAATGCCACGAGTATTTCCAGAACAGTATAGTTGAATCTGTGTTAATTATCGCCAATTTATAAGCATTATTGTCGCATGTAACGAGAAGTAATATATTTGGGACCAGAGAGAGGGAGAGTACCTTCAGATTTAGAAGTGGAGAAGTTTCGAGAAGACTAACTGGCTGATCTAGAGCACTGTATGCAGCTTCAGATATGGCACAGGCAGACAATGAGCCAACAGGTTGACCACCTACACCATCACAAGCAGTAATACTCTCGTCATCTCTGGTACTAGCGCTATCTGGAGAGGATATGTCATAGGAGAACTGAACAACCTTGTTCCCATATGCATTTCTCACCGTTCCATCATAAGCAGTGCACAAATCCCGCATGAAAAACATAAGCTTTCGTGTCAAAGTCCCAGGAAGATCAGCATTTCCACTAAAAGAACTATCTCGACTTGTTACTGAATGAATAAAACATTCTAATGGATTTAAGCCTGTCAAGAATGAGTTTTCAACCACGGCAGAGGGGATGTAGGACTCGACACATTCAGAACTTCCCTCAACCTTCTGATCTGAACTGATTGCCTTTTGATTATTCCACGCAGCACATGAGAGTTGGTTGGGAATTCTGAATGATAATGGAACTAGTGAGTTTTGCAAACCAAGGCACATACTGTGCTGCACTAATTTCTGCATATTACCCTTGCTTCCAGCCTTGAGCATATTCATCAAAGAGTTGTCCGTACCCGCATATTTGTAAGCTAAATTTTGAATATCCCGAAAAAATTGCTTGAAAGCATCATGAACAACCTGACTGAGGGCAGCAGATTTCTGCTTCTCGTGACAGAAGTAGTCGACATCCGAAGTCACGGGACTTTGATTCTCTTCAGCACATCCCATAAGAAGTTCCCGACTACTATCCACCAACAGCTGTCTAAATATACATGCCTGCTCTGCTTCTCGCAACCCACAGAAAATTTCCTCCATCAAGTTATTCCTTGAGCATGAGTCAGAAGCGAGGTATAAGTCCGAGAGAGAGACAGTCAAGCCCCTCATTGACAACCACTCACAAAAAACTTCCTGAGCAGCATGCAGGATGTCAAGTACCGGACCCTGGCAATGTTTAACGAGACTCTGATAAAGATTTCCACTCGTATCTCGCAACCATGAAGAACCTTCAGAAGATAGCAGCTCCCCATTTCTAACGCAAACTCCATCTGGAGCAAAATCATAATCAAAACCCAAAGGTAGAAGCATGCTGAAAACTTGCTTTCCAGTCCAAGCAGGGCCATCAAGTGAAGGAGCTTTAATGATTGCCGGTGATGGCAGTTCATTGCAACAGAACCTTTGCAACTGTTGCATTTGAGAACGATTCAAGAGAACACCATCCTCCAGGATCAGATGGGCAGCCGTTAAGCTATCCTGACTAAGTGAAAGTAGGTTGGTACCGCTCTGCCCATTAATCAATTGTTTATCTAAAGCAACAAGCTCCCTAAGCTCAACTTTGGCATCAACTGATTGAGGAACATACCCATGAAGGCAATCACCATCAAAATCACCACGAAATGGAGAGCAACAGAGTGGGTTTATAGATACAACAGGCGCTGCCGGAAGTATCTTGACAAATAAAGCAATGAGAGAGTGTTGATGTATCGATGGAGGCCTATTTATCAACACAATGTCTCCATCACTCAGAGGCCTGTAAATAGCATCTCCCATCTGCAGTTCGTCTGTCTGGTGTACCAGAACGATGCTACCTTTTCTACGAACATGCATCACTTGTTTGAACATTAGGAGTAGATTGCAGGTGGCACCCAACCTTTCTAAGTTCCATCTGTTCAGATTCTCCGCTATATGCATCCTCTCTGCAATATTTGAGGGTATACCAATTTCACTGAGCTTTATGTTTGGATCACCAACCACCACCGTGCGAAAACAGTGATCAGTTCGCTTCCCAAGAAAAACATCTTTGATCCATCTCAAACCAGATGATTTTGAAGGATCGTCTTTGACATTTTTTAGCTGAGCAGCAATCAAATCATTGCCTGGTTTCTCTGAGTTCAACTGCATTTAAGAAGGATGACCATAAGCAAGAACCGTATTGTCTTATCTACATAAACACGAAATAACACATAAACTGATTAGCTTGCCTTGGAAATTTTCAGGCATTCTAAAACACGAGAACCCAGCTCATTAGCTACACCTTTGAAATCAACAAGTTTCCTATAAGCCGTGGTCCGATGATCCTACAAACATTCGTACAAGCAGGCATAGAAGGAAAGCAAAAACAAAAGCCATGAATTATTTGGTAGTTTACTAACCAAATCAATCAAGAGAAGCATAGTAAAGAAAAAGACTTACAAACATCAACCGCTGCCCATTAGCAAAAGCATGCATAAATTCTGTCACGCGATGACAATTTGGAGTTACAAGGAAAGAATCCATAGAAAGTGAATCTGTTATTGGGACAAACTTCGCAATGAAATTTGGATCAACATCCTTCAACAAATGATGAACCTGAAAGCCAGAAAGAGGGCACCATGTTTATGAGTGATCTGCATAAGAACTCGAAAGTGCGGCACTAATGTTACACCTATCTGCTTAATAAAAAAAAGATGGTAGTTTAGAGAGAGAGAGAGAGAGAGAGAGAGAGAGAGAGAGAGAGAGATCTGATCAAGCATGGTTTGAAAATGAATGGACAGGAAAGGTAAGAAAACTGAAATGCACTATTTTGATTACACACATCCCTTAACTCAAATGCTGTGAATGCTATGTCGATATCAAAATGCAAAGTCGTAGTCTTGAAGCCACAATGTTAAATAACTATTAACAAACAGTGTGGATACTACAAAATCAATCAGAGAAACAGCAATCATTTTTGGTATTTATAATCTGGAGATAGATTGGTATGTCTACTTTCATGGTTCATATGGTAACAATTTGTTGTAACAGTTAGTTAAGACACAAATCTCCCATAAACTTGTTTCTTAACGTGCATTCCATATGCAATAAGGAGAAAATGAATGCTTAACTATTCCAGTGTAAAAGCGGGTACAAACAACCTTCGTTTTTTGTTTTCTTACGAGGAATTCTGGCTTAAGGAGGAGAACATCATATTTAAAAACAAGTTCATAAACTTCATAATTCCGTCTCCTAATGGTATACTTAAATCCTCTAAAATGTACTCCACTCCACAGAAGCAAAAATGAAGGCGTACGTGCATTCATACATACAGTTATGTAGTGTGCATCACTACACGTTTGTGCATAAGCATGCATCTGACTGATTTAGCAGTTCGATGAATTTATGAATAAGAAAATTAGTTAAGAGTTTGAAGAAATTGTCTCATTGATACCACATAAAAAATATGCACATCAATGTTAATTCTAAAAGATTGTGCAATTAAGACATGCACATATAAGAAGGTCAAGTTACCTGCGCATGAGATAGAATTCTTTTGTTTGGTTTAACGCAACTCTCGTCTTGCTGTTCATCTTTGGGAATAAAATCCCAAAAGTCAGAAGGCAATATTCCGCTTGCTTCCACAATAATACAACTTCTTTTAAAGAGTTCTCTCGTAGAAACTCTGAACTTCATTCTTGGGTAGCTTAACGAACTTCCCTATTAATTGAAAAACTCACTAAAGTTACAATGGTGCAGACAGAATGAAATTACGCTCAAAGAGACAAAGAATCACCTTACAATACTTGCAGCCCTTGCGCTCCTTGTGCTCCTGGCGCTTTCTCTTACCACTTAGAGAATCAGCACCCTGATGCATGCATAATAGGAGATAGTAAGTAACTAATTCTTTCGATAACACACACGAGAGTAATAGGTTAATGTGGATAACCGACAATAATCACAACAATTTTCAATACTAAGCAAACATATCGCCTTTTAACCTTTAACCATTAAGGAAAATAAATAGCAACAAAAGTTCAATAGTGCCAAACTGTAAGTCACATCTCAGTGATCAGCTCGAATAGTGTGGTAGCTGACCTTGGGCTTTAGATCCTGCTTAACAGATTTACATCCTACACAAATCTTGTTTAAGATTTGAACAACTTCTGGAAGATAATATGGATGGACTATTGAGCATGGAAACTGGATACGCCCATAATGACCTAGAAATTAAAATGATTGATCAAAACCAATTCCAATACTGAAGATAACCACATCAAGAATTATGTTAAATGTTCATCCACACCTTCACAGTTCTGTAACTTGTTTTCGGCACCACAAGTAGAGCACTGACCAGATGGATTTGGAAGTCCGAACCTAGGATCAGTGACCTCGCTGGCTGAACTGATTGGTGTTTCTTCAGATATCCTTAGCTGTTACAGAATTATTAAGTATTAATAAATTCTCATCTGATATATCAAACGCATCATGCTAAATTTAAACCACGAAACTAATAACCCCTTCACACTTGTACAGTTGTACTGACACACATATTATCGTCACGTGATAAAATGTTCAAACACACTCCAGAAGTAGATTTCATACATTAAAAATGCCTATGACTATAAATAACACTGGACAAACGAATGAAGAAGTGGAAGATATCGTGTAATAAGAATGCCAATACAGCTTAATTAGATGATAAAAGAACATAGTTCAGAAAGACCTAATCATAGTGTCATATATGTAAAGAATAAGGTTCAACTCTGGGGGGAGAGAGAGAGAGAGAGAGAGAGAGAGAGAGAGAGAGAGAGAGAGAAGTGTTTAACCTTAAAACACCTTAAAACCAAATACGAAATGATTAAAGAAACAAAATCAAATACAAGACAGTCTGAGTTGTATAAATTCAAATGCCACACTAATAGCAAACATCATGTTTTATTGTGACGTGCTAGTCAAACAAAAGCTCAAAACAAACGCATATGCACACGCAGGCACACATTCACAGGCATCGATTATTACATTATAATGAAACTGGAAGGCATTAAATAAGAGTATGAACTATGAATACAACTTAATGAGATGCCAAAATAACTTAACTTGGATACCTATGATACATATGCAGATAAAATGGCTCAAGTCTAATATTAAAACTTGCTAACAAAACCAAAAGACCAACTAGACAAAAGAAAATATAAGGAAGTAGACAAGAAAGGGAAAAATACTTACAATATCTTCCCCAGTTGTAACATTTAGACGTATGGCAGTTATGATACCAGATCGAACTGGCTCTTCTTCATACAATTCACTGTCCATGGGATTTGATTAACCCCTGCTACTCAAAAAATCACACAACCTGCAATGATAGCCAGAGCGTTAAAACAATGAAGAGTAGACAACCATAAAAGCTTACTATATAAGAAAATAAGGGCTTCCTGTGGAAATCCATAGTGAACACCCCCAGATATTTGTACACATAGTTTCGGTAATAATGGTTAGTTCACTCACAAGTTTAAGGCCAAAAGGGCAAAAAGTAATATACATCTACATATGCCTTCAACTATGTGCCACACATATACAAAACCAAAAGACAGCCTTTTGGAGAAATTAAAGCTGATGTAATAATTAATGGTGCTGATCCAATATGAAATTATCCTGTAAGAAACCTATTTATGGGAAAACTAAACCAATCCTTGAAACAGGTAACAAGTCATTGTCAATAAATAACTTGATTCGCGTTGCAGACACGTTCTGAAGCATCCATATCAAACACAAAACTGAATGGAATCGCATATAACACACTGAAAATACAAATACAAAAACAAGAACAACAAAAAACAGCTGTGATGAATAGATATTATGTCCATACCAGTATAACAATCACTATGCTTACAAGTTACAAGTTCATGGCTAACGACAGAATTTAGCACCATATCATCAATGCATAGATGCTAATTTATAAAATTTAGCTGGAAACTCTAACTCCTACCGGTACAGAATGTGTGGTGGCACACTCAAACAATGAAATACACGTGGAAATTAGTCGCAAACAGGGGTTGTCAGTTGAATTACCAAATGGACAACAACCACACCCACCATAAAACTGACAAAACACACTTCCTGCTTTAGTGATCAAACCGTAATCAATAAACTACAATTCATCTACAAAAAGACAGTTAAGACATGATTTTTTTTATATGTTTGAAACAATCCATTACAATGGTACCACGGGAATGATCATTGTAACCTGGAAACCTAACAAAACAAAATACTCATCCCAAAATTGACCACATACCATCATTGTTGCTCAATCTCATTAACCTCTAAGCAATAGGAAAACAGAATACCTTGCTTTCACCACCTTATTTGTTCATAAATCAAACAAAATTACATCAGATACACCAGAAACCATGTTTGTCTCGGACACGCTAAAATTCTAGCATTTCAATCAACAAATCTTACAAATAACACAAGATTTCAATCCACATTGTGCAAAGGTCCATTTTTTTTAACCTCCCCAAATGATCAAACCCAACATGCAGACCACCAGACCCAAATTTTCCCATGCACATTGCCAAAACCATCAAATTCCAACAAACCCACAAACCAGGATGCCAAGAAACACAAGAAAATACACTTATCATCCAAAAGAATCAAACTTTCACTGAAAAATCAATGAAAGCACATAAAAAAAATATCTTGAAAAATCAACATGATCATACACAAACTACCATGTAGCAGCACTCCCAGGAAACCAAAAGACCAAAGTTCTAAAAAGATACAAAATTTCAGACAGGTATCTGCAAAAGCATGTGCCTTTTTCCCAGAAACAGAAAGGTTTGCTGTAAAACTCAAAGAAAAAGGTGACCCAACAGAGGAAAATAGCAAACGGGAAAAAAAGCAGGAGAGAGAGAGAGAGAAAGAGAGAGAGAGAGGCTTTTCTTACTGTGATGAGTAAAGCGACGCCGCCGGGTCACTGCAGCCAACCAAAAGACAACGCCGATTTCAAGAAGGGGAGTTGGAAGGAGACCAATGCCGAGAAAGACTTGTTTTCTTTGTTGCTTGGGTTTGTGTCAGAAAAAGAATCCCCCAAGGCTTCTGTGTGAATTTATCACTACTGAGTACTGACCATGCTCTTTTATATCCCACTGTACTCGCTATCTGACAACTTAGACTGACCGGAAATTACCATTCGAGCCTATTTGATTTGGATTTTCGGGATTTTGAATGCTAAACTTGGAATTGGATTTTAATTGAGAGTTTATGATGAAATTTCCGAGTTTTTGTTTAGGGTTTAGGGTTAGGTTTTCTCTAAGTAAAAAAAAAAAAAATTATGATTAGAGTTTAATTTTGGGGTTTAGGGTGTAGGTTTTGTGGAATACAACACTTATGCAGCATTAAGTTTTCAAACAAGTTTTTGACTATCATGTGAAGTTGAGCAGGATTTCAATTTTTGCGACGGTTACATTCTTTGACCAAATTAAGGTTATGGCTTGTGTTTGTCGTGCATAATCAATAGGATCATGATCCTCTCTGGATCTTGAATGTGAGGATCCTAGGGTATCTTGCAGTTCAAACGTTCGCTACAAATCAAACGGTTATAGTTCAATACATTTATTTTATTCATATTTTAACACAAGTTAGATCCCACCAACCCTATAAGCCCTTAGATTTCAGTCGGGGAAACCAAATGGGCAGCAGGGTGGCATCATAGGTGCAGCAAATTCTGACGACTTGGGGGTGCTCAAATAGTGTTGCATGATCTGAATATCTCGCCAAACATCCTTATAGTCCTCCCGGCAAAGAAGCTTGCGTTTGGGGATAGACTTGCAGGGGTAGGGACGTCTGGAGGAAATTTTGGTGCATCGGTGGATGGTATCAAACTAGCCATGGTGAAGGACCCTCCCAAAAGAGTAGAGGTCAATGAGGTTTTGGGTTTTGTAGGGTAGGAAGAAAGGCCACGAGGAGTATCAGTAGGTGAATCGGAGGTGTTTCCGGTGGCTGGTGAACTTATTAACTTCCACTTCTAAGGCGTTCAAAATTTGGAACCTATCTATATATATGTCATGCTTTAGGCATGCAACAATTTAATTCATGCTACTTATGAGACAAAAGTGGATGTATCAACTATGGTTCACAACGTTCTTAAAACTGTCATTTCTCCTGTTAACAGCGGAATACTTGTCTCACCATATAGTGATAGTCCCCAAAATTACGGTAAATATATATGAGCACAACTAAAAAATACATCTACTTGAATCCCACTTTTAATGGGTGAAACCCATCTTTGTGTACGCAATTACTTGTTGGTCAGAAATTTTACTTCAACCGAACTAATCAGGATGATGCAAGTGATCAAGATGCATCTCCCAAGTAGAAAATTATTAGTAAATAGAATGCTTAAAACTTGTGGTAAGCCAAGAAAAATTGTGCGCTCAAAACTAATCCCAAATGGCATGAAATAGCCTACAAAATTTGGGAATTGTGCTAATAATGGCAAGCAAATAATTTAATGGCCATCTTATAGATATACATCTAGGTCATTGGTTAAATAATCCACAATTATATATTGAATAAGCTCACAAATATGCTTTTATATGCGTGAAGCAATATGAGGATCCAAGGTTAATTTTGACTGAGATGGTCTGAAGACCAATTACTCATGTCAACAATCCTTGCAAGGACATGCACAATGCACTTTGTTGAGGACTCAAAATATGTTCATACAAATTTGCAATAATCCGACACATTATAATGGATCATGAATAACCATGATGATCATGTCATCATTTGGTCAATGAACTTTGGATTCATGATATGCATCCATTACTTCTATAACTTTGCAATACAACTCTTTAGAGAAAGTAGGAGCTTCTTTGAAAAAATGAATTCAACAAGAATAAAATACATCTTGATGTAAAAAGAAATTCAATTAATGAATCCATAGTAACATAACAAAAAGAAATAACTATAATTGAAATCAACCACATGAAAGTGCTAAAAAATAAATAATAAAGAACCAAGTTATTAGAAGATAACGCAATCGTTAGTTGCTTGCTTAAGCAAAGTGGGAGATAAAAGTCAACCACAAATAGTGGAATAAAAATGAGTTTCCATTTGTAGCAAGAAAAACAAGTTAGAATTCTTGACCATCCATTGAGTTCAAAATTAAAGGAGAATCGTCAATTTGTCTCAACCATATTTTATTTGTCTTTAATAGAAATTTGTCATAAAATTCACCAAATATTTTGGCATGCGATGGAATCGCGCCCAATGCCTAATTGCAATAGCATAAATACTATCACAATTTTTTTGTTTGGTTTGGCTATTCAATTAAACCAAGGAACTACATGTTGGAGAGTTGACTTTTTGTAGTTAGTTTAGTTACCTATTTAAGTCCTTGTAATCAGATTGTATTAGGTTATTTGATGTTTCTTCTTTCCTATTGTAAATCACTCTTGTACATTATATATTTTCCTCCTTGGTGAGAAGAATGATATCAAAAAATTAAGCCCCAAGATAAGCTCTAATTAGCATGGTATCAGAGCAGAGAACCTAGGATTCCTACTCTACCCGTTCCCTCAAGCAAACTCGGCCCTCCCATGGAGAACCTACCACCACTCCACGGTGGAAACAACCCCATCCTAACTGATTCTACTCTTACACTAAACACTACTACCCTAACTGACTCTATCATGAATCCTACCCTACCTATACCGCAAGTTGTTACACAGATTGTCCATCATGATTCGTCTATTGCTTCGATTGGCATCAAACTCAATGGTGTCAATTATGGAGTTTGGTCTTAGATTATTGAGATGTTTGTTGCTAGAAAAGACAAGTTGGGCTACTTGTTTGGGAGTAATCCCCAACCACCCATCGACGATCCAATCTTCACCAAATGGCTTATGGAGAACGTTATTGTGAAGGGTTGGCTCATCAACTCTATGGAACCCAATTTGCTTGGGTACTTTCTTCGACTACTGACAACAAAGGAAGTGTAGGACGCGGTTGCTCACACGTATTATGACACCTCTGATATATCTCAAGTCTATGATCTTACCTGCAAGGCCTCTCGCATAAGGCAAGATGGACAATTGGTGGAGACATACTATAGTGATCTTCAATCTTTGTGGCAGGAGATTGATTATCGTCGACCTAATCCGATGAAGTACGGTACTGATATTGAAATTTTTAATAAAATTGTTCAAACGGATCGTGTGTACACTTTGCTTGCAGGATTGGATAAGATGTTTGATAAAATTCATATTGATATTCTACAAACTGAGCCCCTTCCTTCTGTCGAACAAACTTTTGCCTATGTTTGCTAGGAAGGAATGCGACAAGCTGTGACGAATACCGGAGGATAACTGCTAAGTGGGGCAGCCATGGTCGCTCGCCCTGCCACACGAGCCGTAGCTTCGACCTCGTCCCCGCGCCCCCGATAAGTCACATGCACCGAGCCTAAGATTACAACCATATGCTACTGTCCCAAGCCCAGCACAGGGCTCTCTCTTTGCTGCTTGGCCAGCCTCACGGCCCACCACGGGTCCCCATCCTCCTCGTTCTAAACCACCAGTCCCAGCTAGTGGTTGTACTTACTGCGGCAGTAAAAAGCATGGCTATGATAATTGCTTCCAATTACATGGCTATCCTGACTAGTGGGAATCATTGAAGCTTCAGAAACAACAGGAATGACACGAGCAAGCCAATCTCGCCACCTCCATGTCCTATTTATCTTTGATATCTGCAGATGATCTTCCTCCGATTTCAAGTTTTTCCGACATGTCTTCGGAGTCCTTAGGTAACTGTGGTTATATTTTTAATATGAATAGTGCTACTCCATCCGAATGGATTATTGACTCTGGTGCCATAGACTATATGACTTATGATCCCATTGATTTAGCTTGTGATAACTGTACCACTCCGAAGTAATATTACCAATGTTAATGAAGTCACCTTACCGGTAACTGCCACTGGCATCATGCGCCTCGCGCCCACTCTATCTTTGCCTCATACATTACTTGTACCTTCACTAAAACATAAATTGATGTCTCCTAGCCAAGCTACTAAACAATTGAACTGTTATGTGCTAATGTATCCAAAGTTTTGTCTTATATAGGATATTCTCAAGAATGAGATAATTGGTCGTGGTACTAAGAGGGGGATCCTTATTTTGTGGATGATGTCAGTACAGGACGGGTCATTCTCGCACAATGAGCTGTTAATCACAAAAGGCGTCATATATGGTTATGGTATCACCATTTGGGTTATCTATCTTTCAGTTATTTGCAGCATATGTTTCCGAATTTATTTGTTGGTTGTTCAGTTTCAGACTTTAAATGTGACACTTGCATACTCGCCAAGAGTCACCTGTGTTTCTTATCCGCTGAATTCTAATAAAAGTGTTATTCCTTTTGGTCTTGTTCATTCAGATGTTTAGGGAACATCTCCAATTACTACTTCATCTGGTATTCAATGGTTTGTAACGTTCATAGATGATTGCACACGGCTGACATGGTTATATTTTCTTAAGCATAAAAGTGATGTTTTTTCGGCTTTTAAGACCTTCCACACCATGGTTCAGACATAGTTTTCTACTAAAATACTGATTTTGTGTTCTGATAATGGTTGTGAATATGTTAATAATGATTTTTCCCATTATTTAACTAATCACGGAATTCTTCATGAAACTACATGTCCTCAGACTCCTCAACAGAACGGGGTGGCTGAGCGCAAAAATCGTCATTTCTTAGAAACGGCTCGCTCACTCTTGATTAGGGCGTCTGTTCCCCGTTCTTCTTGGGATGTTGCTCTTCAGACTGCCACTTATCTT